CCCCAAAACCCCAAAACCCCTCAAATCTAACATACGCATTTTCAGATAAAGTATTAATAATTATTTACTCTTAATTAAGTCAAATATTTTATTGGTTAAATAGAGGAGAGAAATTGATGTTCAATCCTAAAATCCAGAAAATCTATTTTAGCTTCTACCTCCATTATTATTATTTTATTGCTGCTGCTGTTGGTACTAACTCATATTGCTGTTTTAACCTCTCTGCTGAGTTTATTATAACTGTGTAAGTAAATTCAAAAGCTAATTTGGTTATTATGTTGGTTGTTGCTAAGCTTAAGGTTATAATAAAACATTTTAGTCTGATGCATAATTCTGCTACTATTGTGATTACTAATTATAATATTAGTTGCTAGTTTATCCGTCATTCTAATGCCCACCATTACTATTATAGTAGTAATGACCCGAACTTTATTATTGATGCCTACTGTGGCCTTAATACTACTGGCTATAAGATTGTGACTGGTTGCTTTGATATGAGCTCAGTTACTCATTGCCGTAGCCTCTACTTGATGATTGATTTCTATGATGAATGTTATAGTTTATGTGATTGTAGTTGTTTAGTTATTGCTCAGGCTGTTGAGTGTAGGTTTACTACTGATGCTAAGGATTGTATTAATTATAACTTCCCTGATTTCCATGCTGATAATTCTATGACTATTGATAGCCATAGTTGCTATTATGTCTACCTTGGTATCCACCACTACTATTATTGTTGCTATTGCTGTAGTGACTATTATTGCTTCTACTACTGCTGTTATAATTATTATTTCCACCATAGTTCGATTCATATCTTTTATTCTAGTGGTGCCCGCCATCTTCATTTTGATAATCTCTTTGACCTCTCTTGCCTAGCATATTTTATTGATATTCTTCTACAGATTAACCTGGTCTCACTTCTCTTGCTTAGCCATAGGTTGAATGATTGTTAACATAACCTTAGGGTCTATAGATAGCTGACACACTCGCATCAATTCCAAGTATTCTTTCAAGCATCCTCACTGCATTTTCTCCATTGAAAAATCTCCTATTTACATGATAAATCTCAAAATCTTCGACTTCTTTCTATTGATGCTTAACTCCCTCTAATAGCTTTGTCAAATGCATTTTATATTCAGAGCTCTCGTAAGCTATTTGATATACTTGGTTGTCTTTAATGTCCTGAACATCATATTTGTTAAGTGGCTTTGCCAAATTCTATCCTATCTAAGCAGCTACCTTAATTATTCTGATTGTACCTGCAATCTAATCTTTTCTCTCATAGCAGGAGAATAGCTCTAAGTTAGAACCTACATGCTTCAATAGTGTTTGCTATAAAGCACTTTCGGATTTATCCTCCTTATGGAAAAATAGCATGACTTGTCCTTTTCTGTTTCTTTCAGCTTCAATTGGCAAAAGCTTCTACCCGCTACCATCTGCTTTTCTCATAGCTCTGATCAGTCTTTGTCTATCAATAAATGGCAAAAGATTGACTCCCATCCATGCATACCTAGCTCCATTGATATCAAGTTTGAAATTTATTGGGTAGAAGTCAATGATTTCAGAGTCAGGACTGCTTAGGAGATGTCTGTAGCATTAAGGTAGACAATGCGCTGATTATTTAGGCATGACTGCCATAAGTTATTCAAAAGGACTAGCTGGCTCCCCCATCTCAAACCTACATAAATAGTTATAGCATAGAGTATAACTTACTTAATAACGACTCTATCGCAATTGACAAGATCACTTGCGAATGGAGCATAATGATAAGGATAGAACCAATACCAGCTTATACATCCTTTATAATAATATGAATAAACCCATTAAAGTCCTTCAATGTAAGCCTGCTTTATCTTTTATGTGAATTCCTAGAAATCAGTCTCATCAATGTGAAATTTCTCTTAATAGTATCTCAGTTTCCAACCTTCTGTACCGAATTAAACTCTATCAACATATGAGTCAGCCATGATCTTTGACTTTTCATTAAGTAGTTTCTTCACAATTTCTTTCATTTTTTCTGAAGCCAATTTGTTTAATTCATCCTCGCTTAATTATTATTAAAGTTTCCCAATTTCCTGGATCTATCTTGACTCAAATTACTCGATAGTCTCATCTTTTTATTCTTCAGCTACTGCTTATGGTTTAGCTTCATCTTCTTTGACTGCTGAAGAGGGTTTTAATTCAACAGCTTAATCTGGTTTTGGATCATCAAATTTAATGTGATTATTTGGTCTTTGCTATTGATTACCTCTGTTTTGGTAGCCACCTCTTTATTAATAACCACCTCGGCCTCCTCTACCATTAGAACCATTTGCTGCATTTTGAGCTTGTCTCTAAGTATATCTCTCTTCATTTTATTTTTTTACTCTGAAACTCTCTTCCTCAATTTTGGCAATATCATTGAACACAATGTCAACTTTTGAGAATTCAATTTCGCCATTTTTGGTCAGATAATCTCCTAATGACGGCAATAAATTTTTATAAATCACCAGAATGGCATCTAGAGCTCCCTCTCTGATGTGTAAACTTGGCAAGTGAGGCAAGAAGTCATTTCCCACGAAGAAGCAAAGGAACACGAAATCATCTACTATTCTCTCAAAATCGAATGTGAAGGGGAGTTAGAGATCCTTAAATTCTAAGAAGAGATATTCTCTTACTACGTTGAGCTTTACAAATTAAAATTTCACGGTCTTAGAGAGTTAAACTTTGGCAGTTTGATTGTCAGGGTTTGTTTTGCACTCTGAGTTGAGATGACCTTGCTGTCCACAGTGAGAGCATTTTTTGTCAGAGTCCATTTGGAAAGCCTCTCTTAAGATACTAAAGTGGGGTTCATGAGTACTCAATCCCAACATAATTAGATCTGCATCTGCTCCATAGATGCAATGTCTAGTATTTGGATCATAGCCAGGAGCCAGTCTCTGTGACCTTATGAAATCTAGAATTTTATGTTCTCCTTCCCCTGGGATGCTTGCATCGGAAAAGACTACTTTGATGTTTCTCCAGAGATCGTCTGTTTATATTCTTTCGAGTACATAGTATTGAAGAGCCTTGCTTAGTCTCCACATGAACTCAGTTCCAGGAGTGATCACATTCTGGTCGAACTTTTCACTATCGGGTTCTCTCTCTGAAAATTTAATGCCCTCCCTAGCCCATTTGCTCTTGATTTCCTCTTCTCTTATTTCTCTTTCTTCGGTATCTAATGCTCCTCTAAATCTACGAGATCTTTGTTGATTCATCTTCGCTCTGGGAGCAACTCCATCTATAGCCATATATAATGTCCTCTAGGGTTTTACTATTTTCATTATCTTATCAGTGTACTCAAAAACATTATTGAACATCTCACTCTCGCAAGTTGGCTGGGGCTTGTCTTAAGGATGCGCGCAAGGATGAATAATACCATTCATGTCAAGATATAGATTATCATGCTCGAGATTATTATCCTTAATTTTTTTCTAAATTTCCCCATCTAGATCGCCTTCAAGTAGGTCTATCTCATTCGGATCACCTCCTTGCTTTTTGAAGTCAGAGTACATGTATTCTAACTCATCTTCGGTCAAGGCGTCCATAACTACCTTTGGATATCTGACAGATAGCCATCTGAAAAATGCTGGTACTCCCATTCTTGTTATCGAAATATGTTTATTGATTATAATATATAAGTAATATAATATTGCAACTGAGTAGTATATACTATCCAGCGGGGTTTTGGGGTTTTGGGGTTTTGGGG